CAGCGATCTCATCTCACTCTGCATGACCCTAATATCATAACATGTGTTCTCTGGAGAATCACAGAACGGACGATCGTCCTTATTATTATGCCGTTTAAACCAATTATTTAAATGTGTTTGTTAAATTCGGCATCATGTAAGTTGCGCTGACAGGTCCACACACTGCTTCCCCGCAGCGAGGCTCCCCCGCCCTCCTGCTTATGGTTGGCGAGCGTCAAGCTCCACAACCCCCCCCCCGTTGATAATTCTCGATCGTTAGCACGCTGATAACATTTAAATGGCACTTCACATCAAAAAGGTTGCCGACCCCTACTCTAGATAGAAGGCCCGCTAGTTAACTGGCTCGAGACAGAGGATAGATGAATGCGACGAAGCAATTCATGCCGTTTTATTGTTTTTAACGTTGAAATGATAAGTGCAACAGGTGAAGATGAAGTTGTTGCGGAATTGTTGTGAGTACCCTTTTCAAGTCAAGACAATTCAGTGAAAAGCCGCACATTATAATGCCACGTGGGGGTGGGGGTGTGTGTCTACAGAAGGTCCAGTTGTGATAGACACGGTTCGCCACTGGTATCCCATGCTGCGAGTTCTGGTCGCTCAGTGATGATACTTTTACTTCTGGAGTCTGTGGAATCTCAGCTTGCTATCTGATGTCTTGTTTGTGCAGATCCGATAAGTGGTGGAGTGTTTCTACCGTGAGTTCTGTGTTAAGTGCGTTAGCCTTTTTTTCCACTCAGGGTTAATTCAGAGGCTCTGCGTTAGACTTGTGTTTCGTTTGGTTAAAAATGGTTCATATTGTCACTTAGCTGAGTTTCTCTGAGTGGATGTGACAGATTCATAGTTTGTTAAATGTTAAGAAGCCCTTAGATGCTGTTTATTGCAAGATGTTGCATTTTGGGGGCTTAACAGGTTAAACAACTTTTTTGATCAGTGTTCACACGATCTTTGATACTTAATTTACTTGAAAAGAAGTATAAATATGAATGACTTTTTTAATCCGTAAACAAAAAATCAGAGAACATCAGGACATAAATGGTATTCTGTGGAGGCTGTAGATCACCTGTAGATCTTATGGATATTGTCTCTGTTTCTTTGCAGCTAGTAAAAACAACGTTGCTGGCAAATCTCGGGAAGAGATCACTCTGGAGAAACAGATGGAGCTGGAGAGAAGGCTGATAGACGTTAGCGGTCAGCTCAACTCCGGAAAGAAGCCCGTTAAGACCAAACGTAAGTTTTCCACACTGCGTTTTCATTTAATAGTATTTAGGAGCTACGGCTTTTCAGAAAGAAAGTGAAATATGATACATCTTTTTCTTCCCCGAATGACTGATGTTGGTAAATCAAACCTAAAAATGCAAGTTAGGGCATCTGCCGATTCTTCTCTGGATTTGAAATTAGATGACATTTCAGAACATTTCTTTTGTCCAATACCCAAAAATATTTGTTTATTTAATATTAAATCCTGACATCCATATTTGGGAGACTGAACAACATTCTCTACCATACCTCGACAGTTTAAACAGATCAGCCAAAGACTTGATGATCATTTGACCCATGATTAATCAGTCGACTTAAAGTTGAAGTTCCGCTGCTATCTTGATTTTGATATTGTGTTAAATTGCTCTTTGTCTCCGGGTATTAAACTGTCTTCAGGAAGTCTTGAATCTCAACATTTGACATCTTTATCAGATAGTTGCAGCATTTCTCTTACACATTCAAATATTTAACGTTTGAAATGACGTTGTTGTCTGAACATATTTCATATTTCTTTCCAGCAGAGAAACCTGTAACGGAGCCGCACAACACCCAGCCAACACGTCTCAGCGCCAGCAGCTCTTCCTCAGACTCCTCCTCCTCATCATCCTCCTCCTCATCCTCAGACACAAGCGACTCAGACTCTGGCTGAGAGGCCCTGTGTTTCCGTATGACAGGGTCATGTAAGGGACCCTGGGTAATTTGCTTCTCACTGAGAGGACTGAACTGCAGTAGAGCTACTGACGATGGAGCCGCAGGACGGATCAGACGAGACGGGCAGAACTGCTGCGCCTCAAAGTATCAAACCAAGAAAGAGGGAGATGGAGCTTACCCTGCGTTCATGCATCCATCCCAGACACAGCACAGTTGGGAATGGATAGTAGGAGGAGATTGTAAAGTCGTGCCGTTCTCTGGAGAACTGGCCTTTTTCGGGCAGAGCGAGGGACGCTCCATCGCCTGCAAAAAGAAACAAGGAGAATAGCGACGCATGCGTTGGAGGGATAAGGGTGCTAGAGCCAGAATTTGTCTTATTTCTGGAGATAACTTCCCTTCTTCTTGTGCTCCCTGTCTTTATGCTGTATAGATAAGATGTACAGTTATATAAATATCTATTTTTCTTTTGTAAAGAAGCATTTTATGGAGCTAATTTATTCCCTCATTCTGGGAAAGAAGTAGTAGTGCGGGTGTGTGTCTTAGTTTTTGTTTAGTTTTTTTTTTTTCTTGAGTGACGTAGAGGGGAAACTCATGCATTTGTCTGTGTGTGTGAGTGAGTGTGTGAATGTGTCATGTATGAGTTTGCATGTGTGAGATCCTCATAATTTTGACGCAGGCGTTGAAAATCAGTCTGCACGCAGAAGCACCTTGGTTCAGTAAAATACAGAATGCATGCAATACAGAGGAGCTGGCAAACACCTGCATACTCGTGCACTCATGCACTTGTTTGAGATGGTCGGCCACTGTACAGAAATGTGACATAGTTTCATGACATCAGTTTTAGACAAACGTATATCTGTTCCCACCATGTCTTTTTTTTCCTCTATTTTTCTAAACATGTTGCTTTTTTTCTCCTTGTGACCAAACTGCGAATAAATTGTGAGGACTTGTCTTGTCCATTCACCCGTGCCCAAATGACATCCTGGTTCTTTTGATTTCTTCTGGTGTTCATGTTGAGTTTGGACATGTCAAAAAACATCTGACGAGATTTGAGGTTGTATGAAAATAGTTTTGCTGGTTCTTCCATAACATTGTATTATTGAAATAGGTGAAGAGTTTTGGTTAGATTTCCCAATGGGTAATCACTTCTTCGCACTACGGTGTCATACAAACCAAACTGCTGATAACAATTTGGCCTTTAAGATCTATGGCAGCTCAAAGTTTAATTTCAGTGTTAACTGTTTTTTGTTTTTGAGTAAGTTAACTTATTTGTGTGAATATAATTGTTTGGAAAGTTTTCACCAGCATCATTAGTGGAGGACAACGTTTTCTCCTCTTTGGCCTCTTCTTTTTCTTTTAAAGCCAAACCAGTCTGGATGATTGAAACAAGCAAGTGGCCGCAGACAGTTTAACAAGTGAACAACATCTGGTTTATTGTGAGTAACAATGCACTGTTTGTTTGGTGGTTCTACGGTGGTTCTACTAAACAATGTTCTTTGGGTAAGGTCTGTGTCCTTAATGTTCTTTTAAAGTCGCCTACAGCGTAAGATTGGAGTTTTAGACGTTATGAAAGTGATTCTTTAGCAAGAACTAGAATGGAGATGTCTTTTTCACAATACTGAAGGTAATCAAAGCTTTTAAATTGAGGTATACTCTACAAAATGTCAGGTTTTTAGAAGTGTACATACAGTCTCAATCTTGAGCATGTTTTTGTTCTTCCTTCAGTAACTTTGTCCAACTGTTTCTTTTTTGTAAAACAAATATTTTATTTTGGGCTTCTGTTGTAAAACAAAACACTCCAGTTGTCAATTCTAATTTCATGAAGTTTGTCCAAAACACCTCTGTACTTGACTCCATTTTAGAACTTCATCTGTACTCAAATAAACTGCTACATGTTCATCTTTACACTGACTGCGGGTATATTATTTATAAATTGCAGTTGCTCACAGTGTGCTTAGCTTAAAAAATAGAGAAGCAGTGAAACGGATAGAAAATAGATTTTGATTATCAAGGTCCTATGAAGGTACTTCTTTGATCGCATTGAAGCTGTAGGAGGATTTAGTTCAAATAAGTGTCTTGAAAAGTGCAAAAGTAGCACATAAAATAAAAAATGGCTGACTTCCTGTTGGTGTTATGATTCCTGACTGTCGGTTATCGGCCCCTAATATTAAACCATACCACATATTAGTAAAAACATCTAAATGCTAACACAAATAAAAAGCTGTTACTAGGCTACAGTTTTTAATTCAAAAGTGACAAGTGTTGATTCCACCTGGTTTTTAGTGGCCAAATTCATCTTTTTGTAATTTGCCTATTAGAAAATAAACGAATATAAATAAACAACTTATTTAGTTTTTTAAGTAACTGTCCTTTTCTTTTATCAAATATTGGCTATAGTGTCCTCAGACCTTCTGAATATTATAAGCTCAACCAATCGTCTGTATTCAGCCACACATAACTCATTTGAGTTGTTTAAAAGTCTGATTCATCAGTAGCAAACCGTGCAAAAGTATTCAAAACCCAATCAGGCTCAGTCTAGATTACAGACAAAGAAAAGATGCATCCCCTCTCTCTGCTGTGGGTGAGGCAAAACACCTCGTCCCTCCTCCTCTTCCTGCACGGGCTGTACCAACTGCCCCCAACTGCTGTCACACATGCATGAGAGGGGCAGATCACAGAGATGGGGTGGGGCTGAAAATGAGGCAGCATTTCTTACCTATTGCCACATTAAAAGTTGGTGTTTGACATTTTTGATGACATTTGCTGGCATCACGTAAAGACATGAATGGATGTTGCATTGCATTTATTATGATACTGAATACTGTGTGCATCTTCTGTATGTGTGTGAGTCTCTGCTGTCAGCGCATTTCTCTGCACATACACTACCAGTCAAAAGTTTGGACACACCTTCCAATTCAAAGTTTTTTATTTATTTTGATCTACTTTGTAGATTAATACTGAAGACATCAAAACTATGAAAGAACACATATGGAATTATCTAGTTAACAAAAAAGTGTTACAAATCCAGAATATGATTTTTATTTTAGATTCTTCAAAGTAGCCCCGTTTTGCCTTGATGACAGCTTTGCACACTCTTGGCTTCTCTCAGTCAGCTTCATGAGGTCGCACGTGACACTGTTGGAGATGTATTCAGAATTCAAGGCACACTTAACCAGCATGGCTACCACAGCATTCTGCAGTAGCCAGCAAAATATAAATCATTCTGGATTTTTTAACACTTTTTTGTTTTTTGTTCGAATTTAAAAGGTGTGTCCAAGCTTTTGACTGGTCCTTTATATCAGCGCTGCATGTGCATCTTGTACCACGTAGATATGATGGTGTACTGTACATACAGTATATATGAATACTGTGTGCATTGTATATATTGTACAAAATAAGGTTTTGATGAAAGATTATAACACAATATATAATAAATATAATATATCTCTTTAGTTTGTCTTGTATTTCAACAGAATGTGTTGAACTTGTTTGTATTTTCATTAGTGCAAGTGCTCCCTTTCCATGAAATCCTCTTGCAGGGTAATACTGTGGAAATCAGATGAGCTGTCAGAAGTTACTAAGAAACAGGATCAACTGTCGGCAGACAAAAGAGCTCCGCCAGAAACATCGAGTTCTCTCCTGTTCTGCAGAAAAAGACATCCACTGGCGTTTGAGTGATAACTGCACTACTGCCAAATGGCGGCCTCATGCAACTTGTGTTGACTTTGAAATTATGTTATAAAACTTCATAAAAAACATTTAACCCATCACTGGTAAATCTATAGTTTTATTATGCAACAAAATACATATGCATGTATGATTTCATGGTATATATTAGATAAATAAAAACCACGAAAGCTTGTTCCAGCTGTTTTAACTAAGCCT